AAAAAAAAAAAGACTTTCAGGTCACGACTACAAAGAACTACAAATAAACTACATGTTTTGTTCGGGTAAAATAAAGAAATATGACCAACATTCTCTTTATCTGCTCCTCTTACAGAGCTCTACCTTGTTTGACCGTACAATCATGGGTCTGGACACATGGAGCCTTTTAATGATGTTTTCTTTGTCTCTTTGGACCAACAACCAAGCCTTGACCAAGAATTCCATCCTCTCTCGAATACGAAGAGCTCCAGAGGCCAAAGAAGAAAACAAGAAATGCTCCTACACCTTTCTGGTTCCTGAGCAAAAGATCACAGGTCCTATCTGTGCAGCCCGTGGCCACTCCACCGACAAAGACCGGGTGACACGCCTGGATGTAGCATCGGTCCGTGATCTTCTGTCAAAGCAGCGTCGGGAGATGGAAACTTTGAAGCTGGTGGTAGATGTGGATGGTAACTTGGTGAACGAGATGAAGCTGCTGAGGAAAGAGAGCAGAAACATGAACTCTAGAGTGACGCAGCTCTACATGCAGCTCCTCCATGAGATCATAAGGAAAAGGGACAACTCTCTGGAGCTGGCTCAGCTGGAGACACGCATCCTGAATGCCACCACCGAGTCACTGCGCTTGGCCTCTCGCTACAGGGAACTAGAGGCCAAATATGGAGCCCTGTCTGCAGTTGTGAACAATCAGTCAGTGCTGATTGGAGCACTGGAGGAGCGTTGTATGCAGATATACAGCGGCAGGCATGAGCAACCACCCCTGGGACCTCCTCTGGTGCAAGTGGTGCCTGAGAACATTCCAGTCAGCGTGCCACGTTTCACCAACGAGATCCAGAGTCGCAACACTAGAGGGTTTGCCTTGGAAAGGGGCTCTCGCTCTGGGCCATCATCAACAAGCAGTACCCTAGAGGTACAAAAGACTCCTGAGAGAAACTTTAGTACAAAGGGTGAGTAAACAACAAAAATCTAAATAGAAGAAATTATGAAATCTTAAAGGGTGGCTAGGCAGCTACTGCCCCAAACTCCAAAAGAACTTTCAATTAATGTAACTGAAGATAGCGGGCCTACATTATGAATGTAGGGACTATTGCCCTTATTCTTAACCCCCATGATGCTTTGCACAAATTATAGGCACAACTTGCGCTGCAGACCAAAACCGGTGTTTGTTTATGTGTGAACAGTACGAGCTAATGTAGTTTCTCCAAGCGTTGTGGATTTAATTTAAACATGTAGGAACACCACCTGTCAGAGCTCAAACAGGACGATGTAATCATACCTGCTGAGGACGAGGGATGGAGGACGAGCTGAAGAAGTGGCTGCAGAGAACATCTACTAACATATTTAGCTTCTTCATTGACTCAGTTCTTCTGACAGTGAAGCGATGAACAACCTGAAAAGATCTGAGGTGTCAGTATCTACAGTAATAAAGTCGGTGGTGTTTTGTTAAAAGAGGTGGGACACAATCTTATTGACCTTAAATCAGACAGAGAGTCCAGACAAAGCATTAAAGTCCTCCATCACTGACTGAGCTTGGGTTCATTACAGAGAAAATCTTAAAACTGAAGATGAACAAATATTATAAAGCTGTGTCCTCCATACACTTGAAATCAGACCTGATGTTCTCGTCACTGTTTTCAATCCTTCTGAGGATCCAGCGTCTCTTCTCCGGTGGTTTATTGTAGTTCAGACACAAAGTAGGATGCAGGTTTTCCTCCGTCGGCCGTTTGTCAACAAAGTGAAATGAGCACATGCAGAGTTTTGGGTGGTCTCTTCAAGTTCACATTTTTCAGCCACATTCTTCTTATTTCCTCATCTGTAGGTAGAAGATGAAACTATAGCTCTTTTCACTGGAACACTCTGTTTGTTTTGGATCCTTGTTCAAACTGTGTTGTTATGGGGTGCCGTTTGTAAAGTTACACAGTCAAAAATTTACAGCAACATTTTGGTTCATAAGAACAAAAACTAGGTTTTTTTTCAAAGTCATATTTTCGCCATGTTATTCATATATGTCATAGTTCCAAACTAAATATTTAATTTACAAGCTAAATATATAACTTGCAAGTTAAATATTTTGTTAGTGAACTAAATATTTAGGTGTAATTTAAACATTTAATTTCCAAGCTAAATATTTATTTTCAAAACTAAACATTTAATTTCCAAGCTAAATATTTAATTTCCAAAACAAACATTTAATTTACTAACTAAATCCTGGGTGAATTACCCAGTATACTGGGTCTCACTGGGTGATACTTGGACTTCAATATTTATTTTCCAACTTACACATTTAATTTCCAAAATAAATATTTAGCTAACTAAATGTTTAGCTCAGACTTAAATATTTAACTTTGCTAGCTAAATCTTTAGCTTGCTAGTTAAATATTTAACTTGCAAGTTAAATATTTTGTTTGTAAATTAAACAGTTAGCTTGTACATAAACATTTACTTTGCAAACTAAATATTTAGTGTGGAATGAAATATTAAGCTTGCTAATTATTTAACTTGCAAGTTAAGTATTTAATTTGTAAACTAAATATTTAGCTTGCAAATTAAATAATTAGTTTGGAACTATGACATTTATAAAAGTATGAATAACATGGTGAAAATATAACTGAAAAAAAAAACCTTTATTTCTTACGAAAGGCTAAATAAATCAAAATATTGCTGTTAATTTTTGACTGTGTAACTTTACAAATGGCTCCCCATATGTTGTAGCCACTGATTTAGTTTGGTCTGGTTGTTCCTGCAGCTGTGAACTAAACAGGTACCTGAACTCAGCACAGCTGTTTTAGTAAACTTTATGGTTGTTAAATAAATGTGAACAAAACAAAAACTGTTTTATCAGATAAACTGATGCAAATTACTTTCAAATAAACTGCGGTCCGTGCTCTGCTACCATGGTTAACCAATGCTTGCTGCTACTTCCTGTCTGACAGGAAGTTGTATCTATAAGCATTTATACAGTAGAGTCCCCAGGAATAAGGTGGATAGAAAAGTGTAAAGAGAACCATGGTGAAAACAAATACTTATGCTGCTCCCATTATCATCATGAAGACCATGTACCTGTGTCTGCCACTCCCTGACTGCCAAGCTAATGAAACGTACTAAAATGCAGACTGAAAAATAAGCCTCAAACTAACAGTTGATGTGCAAAATCTCCAAGTTGGATCTTAAATATCCTTGAATACTCTTATAGTCGTGCTTAAAAAATTTGGGGGTCTTTTTAAACTTCTCATATTTCCTACAAGCAAGCTGTACAGAGGAGTTTCTACAGTATATCAATGAGAGACGTTGGATGAACGAAGGCCAAAGTATCTTCCTAAACCTACAACTGTGGAAGTGTGGTTTCAGCCACAGAGAGTGAACTTGTCCTGATAATTGTTTTGAACTAGATGACCTTCCTGACACAGCCTGGGCTCGAACCTGCAGCTGCAAGTTTAGGAGACCACAGTACTGATCACTTAGCTACCCCTAAACTGAGATTGTGTAGAAAAAAAAAGCATTAAAATGACCATTCAATTATGTCAAATCCATCTTTCTATGACCTTTCAAAACTTTGAAGGGTGTTTCTGCTGTGAAGTCTGTGAGCTGTAGAGCTCCAGAACAAGCTGGGTTTTCTCATGTGTTCTGCCAAAAGTCCATTAATCTTCATAATGCTTTTTTTTTTTTTCCAAACTTTGTCTACATTTGGAGGCATCCCACTACAAAAAGTCAAATTCCCCATCAAGCCACAGCCTTTCATGTTTAATCTGTGTGTAGTTTCAAAGCTGTACGAGACACAAAACTTTGAAGGGAGTCGTCTTAAGAATATATCCTGATGCATGCTCAATAATCCACGTAGATAAATATGTGTTTATGAAGTATGAAGTATGAAATATTAAGAATATATCCTGATGCATGCTCAATAATCCACGTAGATAAATCTGTGTTTATGAAGTCTTAAGAAGACTTAATACTTTTTGCATAGGCACCCTCAATAAGTGACTGAATGATCCAGAAATCAGTCTGACAATCAATTTCTTTTGATTTATTCCTCAATTCTGTGAAACAGTAGTTGTGGTACAATGTAGAACAGCCTTAATTTTGCAGACCAGCCGTAACAACATAACACTGCTTGACTTTGATTCCAGCTGCAGATGTGCCAGTGGCCTCATTTTAAAGGTTTAAGGTTTGTTAAATCAGCAGGAACTCAACACAACGAACACAAGCCAGGATGGAAATACAAATGTCATATTTCCATGATGTCTGAAATGAGCCAGGGAACTTGGAGAAAAACTAAATATATATAAAACCTGACCAGCTGGAATTTGCTCATCAACAGTTTCCTGACTAATGGAGATGGCTTTGCCCAAGAAAAATAAAGTGTGAAGGATTTTAGGACAGCTTTGTATTCAAATGATCCTTTGCAAACCTGTTCCACTATTTGAGCTGTGGACTAAGCCCAGGCTGCTACCCCATCTTAAAACTAAAGTACTTTTTATTAATAAAAAAAATACAGATTTCTTTGCATTAATTACATTCCATAAACATTACATGAACCAGTCTGTGGCAGTTTGCTCTTTAGATCAACTTACCCACACTGCTCATATACGGTCTATTTTTAGTTTTTTAACCTAAAATCAAAGAAAATCGTTTTTATTAAACTGACTTCATGTACATGTCAGAGTAAATAAGTGTGCACATCTACAGCAGACACGTGATAAATAGTAAAAGGGTTGCTTTGAGTCTTCTCGTTGAATACTCAAAGAGCTTTACAGTACGAGCCACACTCACCCTTTCACATATAGTCAGCTTGTTTATTCCCATACACTGTACATTTACCCAGAAACTATTTTAGGCTCTAGAAAGAGGCATTTAAAAAAAAAAAAGTCTTGTAGACGGAACAACCTGGAGACATCAGGATAACTGTAGGACAGTCCGAGTTAAACACAGAACTTTCTTAGTTTGTTGATGATTGTTTGTTTGTTTCCATCCAGGATCTAGTCTTGACGTCCCACAGTCTACTTTTTAAATCCTCAGATTTTGTGTTAAATAGGAACTTTCTGAAATGTTCTGAAGTGTGCACGTGCTGCACAAAATTGTTTCAACGTTCTTCTCCAAAGCTGTTATCACACAGGACTCCCCTTCTCCTTTGATGCTTCTTAACTGCACAGTTAATATTTCTGACTGAAGCTAGTGCTGTCTACTCTTCAATTCATATCCATTATTACAACAAAAACAATAAGCGTTATCTTCTGCCATGTTTGCCAAAGATGAAAAACGTTCCAGGAGTGGAAGTTTTTCTGTGGAGAACAGAATCAGACATTGTGACAGAACTGAAATAATAAATCAAATGAATACAGTAATAAGATAAGACAAGACAGAACTTTATTGATACCACAGGAAGTTGTTGTGCCAGAGTTTCAGTACAAAGGAACATACACATGGAATCACACAAGATATAAAAAATAACAGAGAATATAAAAATACCAACAATTAAGATCTAAACAGGTGCAGACAGAAACATTAAAGAGTTTATTGTAGTACAGGATTAATTTTATTGTTCTATGTGTAAGAAGGGGAGGAGTTGAAAAGTTTGAAGGACTTCCTGTGTTGTTCTGTGGAGCACCTCGGTGGTCTCAGTCTACGACTGAAGGTGCTGCAGTAAGAGTCCAGGGTGTCATGCAGGGGGTGTGACGTGATGTTCAGGATCTGGAGCAGTTTCCTCAACATCCTCTGCTCAGACACCTCTGTCAGAGACTGCAGGTCCACTCCCAGAACTGAACCAACTCTCTTGATGAGTTTATTGAGTCTGTTGGCATCAACTTTCTTCACCCTGCTGCTCCAGCACACCACAGTATAGAAGAAGATGCTGGAGACCACTGACTGGTAAAACATCTGCAGCATGGTCCTGCAGATGTTAAAGGATCTGAGTCTCCTAAGAAGAAAAAGGCGACTCTGTCCTTTCTTGTAGAGGGTGTTGGTGTTAGCTGTCCAGTCCAGTTTATTGTCTAGGTCACACGTGTCAAACTCAAGACCCGGGGGCCAAATGTGGCCTTTGTTGACATCTTATCTGGCCCCCAAGATCCATCCATCCATCCATCCTGTCAGAGATCTGATGGCAGAGGATCCCACACACAAACTCAGAATG